CTTGAGTTGACTTCCAGTGTTGTCTTCCACAGTCCCATTGAGTTCTTGAAGAATGTCCTTAGTATCTTATTGACTTTGCATAGCGCCAGCTATTCACAGATCCATATGTGTGGCTTTGAGTGTGTGTGTGTGTGTGTGTGTGTGTATGATACATATTTCAAGAAAGGAATGAAGCACCACAAAGAAGGATACTGATTAAACTCAAGCTTTGGCATGAAATTTCTGAAGAAACTACGATTTCTGCTAAATGTTTTGTGGGGGAGGAAGAGAATTTTCTAGGTGTATTGTAAGAAGTTGAGGTACAGCTGCTAAGTAGTTTTTAAATACTGAGCTTCTTAAGCCCTAATAGCCCCAAGTTTTGAGTGTGGAAAGAGACAAGCAGAATAAATGCTGAGTGCTATTGCTATTTCCATGTACACCATTCACAGCTTTGAAAAGAAGAAGGAATTACTGTCTTCTTTCATTTAGTTATAAAATTCCATCATTATTTGGAAAATTTATTACTGAACCAGAATGTTGTATGAAGTGGATTTCCAATCTGGTGTAATTCATAGGAGCTTTTTTGAAAAAAAAAATGGAATGAAGATTGTCTGGAGAATTCTGTTAGATGGTTCTGTTACAGTTGGTTCAGATCCTATTACAAAATGCTTTGGGTTAAGTCATCTTAGTTTCTGCAAGAAAGATGTCTAGAGAAAATCCCTAAATATGCCTAGCTCACTATGGAAAAAACGTTTGCCTACTACACGACTCCTGCTGCGTCCTTGGCTTAGTGAGCATTAGACAGAATAGAATAATTTATTTTTATACCTGGTGGAAGGGAAAGGGGAAATTTTGAGTTTGTATTTGAATACTGTATTTTTTTTTTCATCACTCCTAGCTGGAAATCATTTACTTGAGAGTTCAATTTCTTAAAAATCATTATTTATATTCCCTTTGTCTCATACAGAAAGTTTGGAGTGAAATACATGATATCATCATCATCAACACCATCCATCATCATCAATCATCATCTCTACCTTTCTGGCTATCTTGCCAGATGGGTTAGGCTAAGCAGTAGTACAAATCTGAAACAACAACAGCTTGTGTTTAACCAGGAATTTGTACTTGGCAAAATTGGTGGGGTTTAGGAATACTAGCAAAGCTGAACTTTCCTTATAACAGTATCTCTGCTTGTTTTTCACCTTTTCTAATGCAAAACAGAGGTTCTGTTCTGAAAACGTAACAGGCTGCAGGTAGAATTAATTTTCCTCCTTTGAAGTTGGTGGCCTCAACCTCATATTGGTCTTTTGGTGATTAATTTTTCAGGCCACCACAAAGTTTGCTGGGATCTGACCAAAAATGAAGTGGCTAATGAACCATAGCCATGAGAAATGTTCTGTAGATCATCTTCACTACCAATAGGCATTTCTTGTGAATATGAGCCTTTACTAAATTTCACACTCTGTCACTTGATATTTTTCATTTGAATTTTTAAAATATGCAAGACTGTTTTGTGAAAGGCAGGAGGTTTGAACCCTATCTGTTGAAAGCCCTCAAGTTCTTCATATCCTGGTCTCCTTCCTGCTTTGCTTCAGCAGGTCGATAATTTTTGCTGCCATCACCTATACTCCAGGGGGTATCTTACTAAGTATTCAGACTATTACCTCAATCACTCATTCAGAGATATCTGGAAGGGAGCAATTTAAGGAACTATGTGAGTGGCAAATGAAAGCAGCACCCATTGCCTCAATTGCATAGACTTCCACGCTTGGATTTCCCAGTGTAAATCAATGCTGTTAAGGATGATAAAAGCCCAATTCTTTACTATACTCTTCCTGTGTTAAAAAGTAAAAATAAACCTTTCTCCAATTCCAGTAGAGGGTGGTGTAAGAGTAAACTGACAGCCTGTGTACCTGACAGCCATTTCTCATACATGGGATGTCAATTGTAGGTCAAATCTTCATACAACCTACATCCAACAATACTCCATGTCTTTCCTTGCTGGTCCTATGATAATCCATTTCTTCCATTTAGAATTTATCAATCTGATAAACAATGGAAAAAGAGTAAAAAAGGATATAGGCTATTCCATATGTTTGGGAAATCTTTCCTTTCTCTTGGTATATTTTTCCATTCATGACTAGAGAAAAAAGATAGGAAGAAATATTTATCTCTGTTTGCATACAGATGTTTTCAGTACAATGAAAATGGGAGAATTTCAGCTGATGGAAAATATAAAGAAAAATAAAGTCCATAGCCATTTTCTTTTACAGGTTACAAGGAGAAATTGGCTAGTCACAAAAGGGGAATTAAGGTATGTTACTTCTTCTATGTACATATTTTGATTTTTTCGAACAAGGAAAAGTATCAACATTAACATCATCAATAGCCAGTGATGATGAAAACAGATGCATTACTAACTGACGGGAGAATGTAAAGATACAGGTTTAGGCTAATTTGCATCCACACATGCAATAATGCCTTTATTTTCTTTTGTGTATGTTAGTCAAACATAGTTTTATGGCTTAGTGTGTTGGGTAAACCAGAGTTAGACTGCGAATGATTTCATAAAGAATAGGATTGTGCATGCATCAGAAACAGTGGTGAAATCCTGCTGGTTCTGTCCGGGTCACATGAGCTGGTAGCGGCGGCAGCCTGGACATCGTTACTTCCTGGTTTTAATTCTCTGCACATGCGCATAGGGTAAAAAATCGGACGTGATGATGGCGCGTGTGCGAGCGGAGCGCATGCGGGCGCGATGTGCACACTTCCGAACTGGTAAGGAAGGTAAGTAGATTTCACCCCTGATCAGAAATAAATATGAAAAAAGACTGTTGACTTCCCATGAGCACAGGGCCACTCTGCTGTTGATGTGTGCAGCTCTGTTTATATGGATAGAAATTGCGACTGAGATAGTACAGTAGGAGATTTAAAAAGATCTGATCAGGAAACAGAGTATCTTTAACAGTGTATCTTCTGAGGAGTTCAGTTGGGGACCTTTATCCCAGGTAAGAGTTTTTGTCTTCCGTGTATTTCCCAGCTTCACCTTCTTTTATGAGTTGGGAGAAGTAATAATTTAATTTAATTTACTAGCAGAAGTTCTTTTTTCCAGGAGGCTCCCAGTAAAAGATTATTACTATGGACTATCATTAACTGAGTTGAAGACATAATTTTCATCTTTTGTTATCAGTTCATATTTTATTTCTGATCAGTTTTTTGCCTAAACAGGGGTAATCTATTAAGGCAGAATTCCTTAGCACAGAACTGCAAATTTTTGAAGGTTTCAGTCCGATTCCAGGAGTAAATCCAGAACAGAGACTACGATCACAATTCAGTGAACTTATCTACATCATGAATGAGAGAGGAGGAATACATCTACTTGGTTCTGCTGGGCTTCTTAGTGGCATTCAGTACCTTTGACTAGGGTATCCTTCTGGTCATACCTTTCTGTGGTATCATAGTTATAGCCAGATCAGATTAGTACAATGTGTTATATTCAGAAATACATTTGAAAAATCTCTGAAAACTATAACTAATCTTGAATGTGAGTACAAAAAAAGTTGGGAGGTTTATATTATGCCATCATGTAAGAGTTATGATAGCTGCCAATTTGTTTTCAGCGACTAATCAGAGTATTGGTGATAAATTTTAAAACTCCAAACAAATTAGATGTATAGTATCTCAGAAATTACCTTCCCATACTGGCCTGCTTATTTCCCTGTCATTTGATAGAAGAGTCATTCTCTATGTCCAACTTCTAGAACTGGCATATTTGATTGGAATGACAGAATGACCACATCTAATGACTTTATAAGGCACTTGGAATACTACATCCAGTTTTGGTCACCACAATATAAAAAGGATGTTGAGATTCTGGAAAGAGTACAGAGAAAACAAAGATGATTAGCAGGCTGGGGGCTAAAACATATGAAGAACAGTTGCAGAATTGGGTATGTCTAGTGTGAAAAGAAGGACCAGGGTGACATAATAGCAGTGTTCCAATATTTGAGGGACTACCACAAAGAAGAGGCGGTCAACCTATTCTCCAAAGTACTGGAAGGCAAGACAAGAAACAAAGAAAACTAATCAAGGAGAGAAGCAACCTAGAAATAAGAACTTTCTGACAGTGAGAACAATAAGCCAGTGGAACGGCTTGCCTTCAGAAGCTGTGGGTGCTCCATCACTAGAGATTTTTAAAAAGAGATTGGACAGCCATGTGTTTGAAATGGTATAGGACAGTGATGGCTAACCTTTTAGCCGTTGTGTGCCAAAAGCGGGGGGGGGCGTGGAGGGGTTGTGCCCACGCGTGCCCATACCCATAATTCAGTGCGCCCCGCCCCCACACATGCACGCACGACACCCCTGCGCTCCTCCCGCTATTTGCATGTGATGGCAAGGTGGGCCCAGTAGGCCCATTTTTCACCCCCAGGCTCCAGAGCCTTTCTAGGAGCCTGGGGAGGTCAAAAACAGCCTTCCCCCCCCCCGGGGGCCCTTCAGAGGCTGGAAATAACCTGTTTCCTGACTTCTGGTGGGCCCGGAAGACCTGAAAATCATCTGGCTGGCGCACACATGCGCACTGGAACTGAGCTAGGGCAACACACACGTGCCAACTGATATGTCTATAGGTTCGCCATCACAGGTATAGGGTCTGCTGCTTGAGCAGGGGGTTGGACTAGAAGACCTTCAAGGTCTCTTCCAACTCTTGTTATTCTGTTAAACTCTGAAACTTTCTACCTTGGCAATAAATGGAGAAAGCACCTTACTATCTTTTTCCCTCAACTAACGAGACTTTTTGTTTTTAAAAAAAGTATTAGCAGAAGCTACTGTCTGCTTTGTAATTTCTAAAGTATATTTTTGTGTTTTGTTTATATAGATTTTTTAGTATTTTTTAAAAAAATACGTTTAACATTTTAAATGTTGCACTGAATTTAAGGTAATCAGCTTCTTGCATTAATGAGTGCATCAGAATGGTAAGATATAAATCTTTAAAGATACAAAAAAATGTTCTACTATGTTTTGTTTTGCATTTTTAAGTGAATATTTTTTTTAGACATTTGGGATGACTTCATAATCAGTGATGTTCTTTAATCCTGTTTTCTGCCCTTTTTCTAATACCTCCCCAAACAATTCTGAGGAGGTACATTTAATTTTTTTTCACAGCAGATTTCTAGAATGTGAAAAGTACTGAGACACCTGAGATTAGCTCTATATCTTGTCTTGGAACTTTGTATACCTGTAAGGAATATTTTCTAACATATATACAGATTTGGGTGATCTATTTACAATGTACAGGTAGTCCTCAACTTACAACAGTTCACTTAGTGCCCTTTTGAAATTATAACAGCATTGAAAAAAGTGATTTATGACCATTTTTCACATTTATGACTGCTGCAGCATCCCCATGGTCACGTGATTTACATTTGGATGTTTGACAACTGACTCGCATTTATGACAGTTGCAGTGTCCCGGGGTCATGCGATCCCCTTTTGCAACTTTCTGATGAGCAAAGACAATGGGGAAACCAGATTCACTTTAACAACCATGTTACTAATTCAACAATTGCAGCAATTCACATAACAGATGTGGCAAGAAAAGTTGTAAAATGGAACTTCACAAATTTCTCACTTAGCAACATAAATTTTTGGGATCAATTGTGGTTGTAGGGTGAGGACTACCTGTATTGTTTATTCTAAGGGTTTTCTCTGTAGCCACATGTAATGCTGACGAGAGGGAAGAGATGGGTAAAATGATCATCAGCTTTTTAGAAAGTGGAGCCATTGTACTGAAGGAAAAACTCCTCCACACAGTAATCTGCTTTAGCTGCCCTTGTAAATCCCACTACTGGATATTTTGTTTTCTTGTCTCCAAGGATCCATGTATTAAAGGGGACAGTGAGGATAGCATGCCTAAGGCCCTCTGCTGCAGGATTTATACTGATACAGATGACAAATGTTTAATATCTGGCCAATTTATTGCTTCCCCCCCCCCCCATTTTCGCAGGCTCATTGTGAACATTATTCTGATGATAAAAGCATGCCGAGGATTCCGCAGTGCATTGAAAGGATTTGCAGGTTTTGACCTAATAGAGAAAGACTGTCGTCGGCAAATTGAAGGCGTAAGGGGTTCCACAAAAATAACTGAAGATCTTTTATTTATTATTGCTTTTTAACATTAACTTCCATTGGTATTCTATAATTTAATCACAAACCATAAATATATAATGGAATTATTTGTTAAAAACTAACATGGAAAGTATAGAATACTTTAAAGCCTTTTTTTATTTTATTTTACAGAATTCTATGTAAAATTAACTGCCATTCAATGTCTGCTTTTTAGGACATCAAAAGTGCCAATATTGTGTTTGATCGACATGAATTCAGCGTTTCAAAGGTATGAACAAGATATATATATTATATATATAATATATATATATATATATATATATATATATATATATATATATATATATATATATATATATATATATATATATATTTGTTTTGCATCTGCAGTGACAGACAATTACAGGACAAGGTAGGAATATAGCAGTAGGGAAACTGAACAAATATCTCTTCAGAAGATAAAAACAAGAACAACAATTCAAAATGTTTTGAGTCTGACCCAAAGTTTTAGTTGAGTTATTCCGTTTTGAGTTCAAGGTGAATTACACTGTCAACTTCCTGCATGCCGGTTATTGTTATTTAGTCCTGCTTTACAGAATCACAGTAGCAAAAACTTTTGTGTGTCTGCTGCAGCGGATTCAGTATTTGAGCTTGACTGGAGGTGAGTGTGAGATGCCTGAGGGAGGAAAGGTGTGCCAAAGAGTGAGTGGAATATACTGAAGTAGATGCACTTCAGTATGATTGAGCACGGGGACTAAAGATTGTCTTCCCGAATCCTTGGATTGATTGGTATTATCTCTGCCACAATCTCTTAGTGACCATGTGGGCTGGGGAATGCTGGAATTATAGTCCAATAGCTGCATAGCAAAAGGCCAGGAGGGAAGGTTCATATAATTGCTGAACTGAAATCCAATTCACAGTCATCTGAGCCATTCCTGATACTTCGTTAAAAATTAAAGGCAAACAGTAAACAGTATAGCTAAAGTATGGGAGTACCTGAGAGAATCTTATTTCCAACAGCATCTGCAGATGGGGGAGGGTGTCAAAAGGGCCTCTGTGACTGCATAATCAAGGACCCACCCCTTTTAAAGATGTAATACAGACCCAAATTCACTTTAATGTCCCCTCTCTCCTGCTGATGCTTCACTTATTACTTCCACAGCCAGCTTCTTTCATAGTTGGAAGAATGCCTCAACAGTACACAAGCTTTTCCCCCATCATTACTTTCATTACTTCAAATTATTTGTATTAACTTAGGCTTGTTTCACAGGCTTCTTACTGTCTGTGGGATGGGAAGTGCTTGGGTGGATGGGTAAAGCTGTAGAAATTCTGAGGCCATCATTGCAATGGAACTTTATTGCTATTTTGTGAAGATGGAAATCACACAATTCTCCATGGAACTGAGAAGTAATTGCAAGGAGACCGGATAAAATACTGATCAAACTAGCAAGCAATAATAGAACTTTGAAGTTACATCTTTTAAAGGGAGGCAAAAGTAAAAGAGAGAACAAGAGAGGACTAATGATGCCTAGAGTGTTGAGAGAACTATATTGCCATCTTTTACTGCTGCCCCTGTGAATATTTATTTTAAATGTATTTGATATTGCCTTCAGGAACATTTCCCTTTTAGAGCAATCCAAATAACTAAGAAGCCGCCAACATGGAGGACTGAATCAGAAATAAAGCACTTGCGCAACCGCTTACAGCTTTTAGAAAGTTTCCGCCAATATAGCCCAACGCTGCAGTATCTGTTGGCCAAAGTGATTCGCTTTGAACGGTAATCGGGAAGAGAAGGTGGGCTGGGGAAGATAATAATGGCTTTGGAGGAATCCAAACCAGATCTGTAGCTTTAAAATTCTCCAAGTATTCTAATTAAAGGTAATGTTCCATCAAGGTACCCAACATTTTTTATTGCAGGAATTGGAATAGTCTAAGGCTGTGATGGCGAACCTATGGCACGCGTGCCACAGGTGGCATGCGTAAGGTGACCAGATTTTAACATTGGTAAAGAGGGACATTGTGGGCGTGGCTTATTTTGTGGGCGTGGCTAGCTGGTCATGTGACTGGGTGGGCGTGGCTAGTGGTCATGTGACCGGTGTGGCCATGGCTATGTGTATAGGGACTACTCAGAGGGCTGAAAAGTCATTTCTGACAGGTCCTCACACTTTTGACTGGTCCTCACACTTATGACCATCCTCACATTTATGCCCGTGCAGCATTCTTAACAACCATGTCACTCATTTCACAACTGCTTCTCTTCAACAAGGTGACAAGATAGGGCAAAAATGTAAAATGTGAGGACAGTCGTAAGTTTGAGGACTGGTCAAAAGTGTGAGGACCAGTCAAAAATAACTTTTTCAGCCCTCTGAGTAGTCCATATGCACAAAAGGACTAACCAGAGAGCTGAAAAAAGTCATTTCTGACAGGTCCTCGCACTTTTGACTGGTCCTCACACTTATGACCATCCTCACATTTATGCCCATGCAGCATTCTTAACAACCATGTCACTCATTTCACAACTGCTTCTCTTCACCATGATGACAAGATAGGGCAAAAATGTAAAATGTGAGGACAGTCATAAGTTCGAGGACTGGTCAAAAGTGTGAGGACCAGTCAAAAATAACTTTTTCAGCCCTCTGAGTAGTCCATATGCATTAAAGGATTACAGCAATAGAGAGGGATGAAGGAATGGAAATTAGAGTAGGAGTGAGGGTAAGAGAGGGAGGAAGAGAGGAGGAGAAGGAGAAAGAAAGAGGAAGTAGGGAGGAGAAAAAGAGGGTGGGGGGAAGAGAAAGTAAGAAGGAAAGAAAAGAGAGAGGTGGTAGGTTTGAGGAGAAAGATTGCTGTACAATAAAAAAGATGAAAGGGAAGAAAGCCAACCCCAAGCCAAATATAAAGATATTAAGATAAAGAATGAATTGTTAAACTTTAAAGAATAAAAGAGAACAAATATGAATAAATAGCAATAATTAGAAACACACATACAAACATACAATGTATTTTCTTTGAACAGAATATTTGGCTGGTTCACAAATTTGAACAGCGTTTAGTCATTTCAATTAAATTTACAATTTCTATATTTCCTTTTTGCCATATTTATTCCTCATCTATTTTTTAAAAAAACCAATATTACCCTTCATCCTCATCTCTAATCTTAATCAAATTCAATTTTTCCCTTCTATTCTATATTATACCCCTTCCCATTGTCATCTATTTTTATATCCATCCTCACATTGTTTAATTATGTAATTATGTAATACAGTTGTTTAATACAAATTCAACATTTTAATATAAATCAATTAGTTATAAAACTATCTTTTTTGTATATTAATCAATATGAACATGAATATTCCAATTATTTCCATGCAATCCAATTTCTTCCAAATCAATTAATTATATTTACCAATAATAATAAACCAAATAATTTCTCCCATATATTCCTCCGAACCACAACTTAACCATTTCTGCTTTCAACACAATATACAATTAATAGTATCTCAATTATTACAATTCCCTAGTTAAATACAGCTTTTTTTCCTTTGTGTTTTAAAATCTTGAACTCTCCTCCTAAATTTCCCATTGTTTGCAGTTTTTCACCTACCTTTTTTGGGGAGGAAAAATAAAAATAAAAATAAATCTCTCTCTGCCTCATTTTGTCACGCTGCACCAAAGACCCTGGTTTCGGTTTCGTTTCTGAAGCTTAGCTAGGGGGAAAAAAAACTGCTTTACACTGATTGCCTGTAGGGCGGCCCTTTGAAGCCCCCGGCAAGAGTTTAAACAGTTTTTTTTCTTCTAGCCATCAGCTGGGGCTCAAGAAAAATCGGGACTTTTTTGAAACGCCGCGGGACGCGGGACAAATTGCTCAAAAGCGGGACTGTCCCGCCAAAAGCGGGACGTCTGGTCACCTTAGGCATGCGTAGCCATATCAGTGGGCACGTGAGCTCAGCTCTGGCGCGTGTGCACACGCCAGCCAGCTGATTTTTGGGTCTTCTGGGCCCACCAGAAGTAGGGAAACAGATTGTTTCCTGCCTGAGGAGGGCCTGGGGGGTGGGGAAGGCCATTTTCTCCCTTCCCAGACTCCTAGAGAGGCCCTTGAGCCAGATGAGAGAGAAAAACGGGCCTACCAGGCCATCACGTGCCATGAATGGGGGGGAGGGGGGTTCGTGCATGCATGTGTGGGGGCAGGGCGCATAGAATTATGGGTGTGGGCATGCACGCACATCAGCCCCCCGCCCCCCCTTCTGGCACGTGATGGCAAAAAGGTTAGCCATCACTGGCCTAAGGTATCCCCCTACTTTGCATTCTTCTGCTGTCGATATCACATAAGACCTTTATCAATATCCTAGACAGTTTCTATGGAAAATTTTTGCAAGGTCTCAGTCTGCTTTCTGGAACTGTTGCCTGTATTCTCCCGACTCGCATTCACTCTGAAAAACTGCTTATCCTATTAACATTTCCCACAGTGCTCAGCACCTCTTTGTTGGTAATGGGGGGTTCTCCCCCAGCTTCTACCATTAGAAAAGATTGTAGCTGGAGGAGAGGAAGTAATGCAGGTAGATCACCTTATCAGATATGATATATGTATTAAGTAATCTTCAGTACAGATCAGTACAATGTTTGCTTCCCAAACATTTGCTAAGTGGACATAGTTTCTTTAAACACGAAAGCTGGTTAGGCCCTGGGTTTTTTTCTATATTCTATATTCTTTTTTATATTCTCCTACAGTCCTGACCTACTGAAATAGAGTTATTGCCTTTCTAGCTACCCAAAGAGCCATTTATCTGAAACTAGACTGGCATAAAATTTACTGCCTTCATTGCCTATCTCTACCTTGCCTCCACTGAATCTGTTCCAAGTTACTGCCCTATGGTAGCGTTGTAATTTTGCATGTATCATTCAAATAAAGCAAAGTTATTTGTTTTCTGGCCCAGGGCTTCCTACAGCTTCCTAGGATTTGATAGAACACATCAAATTGTTTTTTGTTATCAAAAAGATAACAAAAAGTGTCTTTGATACTACTCAGAGTATCAGAAGAATTGTTTTAGGCCAGGGTTCTAGTCCCAGAATGGCATCGTCTTCCGGTAGCATAAAAGGGAACACAGCAGCATCCTTCTGTTTTTGCTTCCCAGTAATTGCTAACTAGTGGTAGAAAGAAAAATCTTAAAACTTCTTCTACTGTAGATCAGATCTAACCTGAGTATTTCATAGCTGCTTTTGTAGAGAAAAGAGTGAGACATTGGAAAGAGATACACTGAAGAATATCATTATTACAATGTCTAGATCAGGTGTTTTCCAACCTGTGGCTCATGGGCCACATGCAGCCCTGGTGAGCTAGTAATGCAAGCCCACAAGATTGTAAACTTTTAACATTATTGTGGGTTTATATACATTAACTATTTTATATATATATTTATGTGAACCAAGACAATTCCGCTTGACTCATTGTGGCCCAGGCAAGCCAAATGTTTGGACATTCATGGTCTAGAATCTCAAGATTGTCTCTTTTTCTCCACTTTTTAAAGATATATAATAGCTGATTGACCCTGTCTTATATTTTTTTGAACCCTGAAATAAGCGCTTGGCCTTATTGCCATGCGCTCAAAAGCCCGATTGGGCTTATTATCAGGAGATGTCTTATTTTGGGGGAAACAGGGTATGTATAAATTTGAAAAATAAATAAATAAATCTACAATTGAAAGGGCATCAGGTCATGGAAAGCTAGTGAACTGTTGCTAGCATTTTAAGTCTTCTTGTTCAGGTTCATTTTTGCCAGCTTGTGATGTCACCTGATGATCTGTTTTCCAGATTTGGCCGCAGAAGAGTGATCATAAAAAAAGGGCATGAAGCAACTGCCTTTTACTTCATTTATTGTGGTACAGTCGCTATCACGGATGATGATGATGGTAGCAGTGCCTTTGTGGAAACAGCTCCAACTACGATTCAGAGGGGTGCTTCTTTTGGTGTGAGTGTGATCTGCAACTGCGGTTCTCAACTTTTCAGTATTAGGAAAGAAAATGGTGTTCTCCATAATAGAAACATATGCACACACACACACTTTTTTCCACAAAGGAAATATCTATATAAGTTTACAAGCTTCAATAAATTTTATGCCTCTGAGCATTCTCAATATATAAGAATTATAGTATTGCTTTTCCAATTGAAGATGTTGCTCTTCTCAAGCATTGGGAAGTTTCAGCTTCAGAATCCAGCAGGTAGCATTGTCAAGTGAGATACCTTTCAGGGAAATTGATAATCAGAAAATCTTGTGAATGAGTTACAAAGCTAGGACAATGTAAAGTGCCCAGGGGCCATAAAATCCTTACAACAAAAATGAATTTTATATAAATTTCAAAATCAAGTGGCATACTGTGAAGCCAACTCCATCATTCTGGATCATCTGTATTTCCTAAAGTGTTGTAGGATTCCAGATAAACTCAGAGGTATTACAGAGTAAAAATGATGGTGGATTCAGGAAGGCTTCTATTGATAGATTTACTCTGCTGCCTAGGCAAAAGGAAAGGCAAAGATGGGAAGAGCTTGAGTTTAGGAAATATGAAGGGGGAGTGGACCAGTGAGGAGGATGAAAAGAGAGAAATTAAATAAAAAGAAAGGGACCAGGTATGTAATAGGAAAAGAGGAAGAATCAACCATGACAATATTTGCTCTCGTTTATCCCTTGCATATTAACAGGAAATTGCCCTTTTACAAAAAACAAAAAGAATTGCCACTGTTGTCTGTATGGAAGAAACGGAATTGCTGGTGGTAGATAAAAAGGATTTTTTTGCCTATAAACTAGATAAGGAACTTCAACGGGAATTCAAAGTTCGCTATGATTATTTGAGGTATTCCTTATATCATTCTTGTCCATTGTTTCCATGGTTTTGGCTTCGGTTCAACTAATCAACCTTTATAGAAAGAAGTCCATAGATAAGGTGTATTTCAGAAGAAGATCCAGGCAGCCACTTCTGGAAGGCAGAAGCTTCACCCTCTCTAAATCCCCACTCACCTGTTTCTGCAGTGCACTTTCCCCAATTATATTGCCTCAAGCATTCCTGTCCATTTGGACAGGAATGCTAGAGCATTTCAGATTATTGCAGTCTACCCTTCACAGTTCATGGCTTCTTTGCAGAGGTAGGAATATACCTGAAATTTAGCTCCAGGGCCTTTTAGACCTTCCCTTTACATTGCCTGTAATGTTTGCTTCACAAATCAAATGTTGCTGATTTGAAATTGTCAGGAACCACAATTTCCCAAACCTTTGATAAAAATTGATTTCAGCCCTATAAGGTGGACCAGATCAGAAAATGGACAGAGAAGGCCAGAATTCTGCTTTATTGAGATGTGTGCTAGTAGCAAAAACTTGCAAGTCCACCTATGTTTTCCCTGCCATATCTTTTATGCTCCAGAGTCAAAGGGGAACTGGCCTGAGTATCTTCTTGTCTTGGGAGCTTAACACAAACTTCTTCTGCACCTGTTGTTTTCTTAACAGTTGCTGGATGGTTTCTCCAAGGTCATCTCCAAGACTCCCTACAGAAACCGGGCAGGAACTATTTCAATTTTTTTTCTTCCTGGGCTTCCTTTCTCTCTTCCTCCTCCTCCTCCTCCTCCTCCTCCTCCTCTTTATTTTGTCACCTATTGCTGTTAGCTTGGGAACAAGAGGGAAGAGCAGCAGCAGCAGTGATATATATTATTTAGAAGTTAAGCATCTGCTCCAGGCTTTATCATCATGTTCATTTTTCCAGAATACAGCACAGCATGCACATCGATATATAGGACATTTCAGAGACATTAAATGGTGGGTTGTATGTTGAGCTGCATAAAGCCAACAAAATAACAAATTTGTTTCAGGTGATAGACTTAGAAACAAGTGATTATTGGGTTTCCTTTGCCTGTGTTCCCCTTTATCTTTAATGGAATTCCATACATAGTGGAATAGACTTGAATTTAGAGGCAACATATCTCAGAGCCATAATTGAATGTTTTGATCTGTAGTTAGCCAAAAGTTTTCAATTTGTAGTTAAATAAATAGTTGATGAGAATAGCCACATTTTTTTTTCTATTTTCAGGGCTATAGATCTTTTTCAAACACTGCCTGATTCTTCAATAGATAAAATAGCTAATTACTGCAAAGTTGAGAGATTCTATTCTGGACAGGTGATTACCACTGATCTTGCAGAAACCCACTGTATGGTATTTGTTACCAAGGTGAGATTTACTTTAGTTTCATATTTTATAGTATGGTTTGTACCATTTTGTTTCTACTAGTTACAGTTTTTTTAAATCTACAAATTCAAAAATAGATGGACTTGCACAGCAGTTACTAACTCTATGAACCTATGATCTATGAACCTATCTATGAACCTATGATCTATGCAAAATTCAGATTCAGTGATGTTATATCTCGAACACCAACATCTAGTAAAGTTTTGCAGTCTTTTGAAAGGGAACCGTTAAAAATATATCCAAAGTAAGGGAATCCATTAGTACAGACTACCAGTGGTTCATGGATCATAGGTATCTATTTTAGGCCATCATGATGTCAAAATGATAACATGCATGTCATACTATCCCACAAATAACAGAATTATGTAATTTGCATCACTTGTACCATGTTGGACATAAATACATAAGTTGTATCTTCATCTATGTTTCATAAAAGGATGATGTCTTTTGACTCCTATGCATTCACCTGCATTCCTCTGTGCACATCTATGACTCGGCTTCTTCCACACTTCCAAATTGGAAGATGCTTTGATGATGTTAGGAACTGGTTGAGACATCTTTGCATAATGGCCTGCTTTAGCCTGAGAACCATTGATTCCACCTCACCAGCCTCAGCTATGCTTATACATAGCTTGTAGCCTGCAGCAATGGGATTATGCTAGTGAGGAAGAGCCCTATGGCCGAACATGATATGTGAAGATTGTCTTTTGTCTGAAAATGTCTTCTTTAAGACACTCCCCAGTCCATACCTGGTTTAAGGGAAAATATCTATGCGACAGAATAGCCAGAACTTAAATGATTTTTCTCTTCAACAATAAGCATGTGGACAGCATAATTCGCAGGCAAAAAGTATTATCAGGTAGACATTTTTATTCTAGTATCTCTATTTTCTTCCCTCTTTCTCATAGCAAATATAATATTTATGCAAATCTGTGTCTTATTTTTCACACTTGTTCTAGGCGACCTGTTTCCCTCTATATTGACAATAAATACATGGCAATTGCCTGAAACGGCCTTTTGGGCATCTGATTTAATCAATCCTGTGGCACCTCTTTTATTATTGTGAATGGGTTCTTCTTGTCAGTCAATAAGTTCTGATGTTCTTAGCAATACATACACCCTCAATGAACATCTGTGAGGGACAGATGTTCTTTGTAATCTGGGCACAGACAGATACTACACTGTGGTTGGAAAAGATTAAAGATGGAAAGGATTTTGGTTATGGTTTGCACTCTGAGCTTGCTATTTAGCTTCTGAACATTTCATTACCAGGCTAGGTAACATCATCAGTGGACTTTGTTTGAAGTGTCTTGTCTCATTTCTCTTCAGTTTAAATAGGTCTTGTGTGGTGGAATGGTCAGTCATGTAACTGGCTAGTGGCGTGGTATGAAAGTCAGCTGGTAAAGGGGTGGTCGGTTCTGTCACTGATTGGTCGTTCTGATGGTCTACTTTCTTATAGGCTCATATGATGGTTCCAAATCCATATGTTTATAGATTGAACCTTTTGTAGAATGCCAGACTTCAGCAAATTGGTGTGCATGGCGAGTGTTGGCATGGCTGATGATTTTCACTCCGTCCCAGTCGAACTGGTGTTGTTCAGTGTCAATGTAAGTTGAGATCAGTGATTTTTGGTGGTGTTACTTAACCTCTAGCCAATGATCATGAATCCTTGCTTTTAGTTGTCATCCTGTTTGTCTGATATGGTTACAATTGTTGCAACTGATTTTGTATATTACTGTATTTTTCGCCCTAAAAGAGGGTGAAAATTTGGGTGCGTCTTATACACCGAATGTAGCCCCGCCCACCCGCCGGCCCCTACCCTTTGGCCTCTACCTACCAGCAGTTTACCTCCTTGCAGCAAACAGCTTGTTTCAGCTTCAGCACAGCCAACAATTAACCTCCTTGCAACAAACAGCAAACAGCCCATTTCAGCTTCAGCACCGCCTGATTAGCACATGCAGTTGATTGTTGGTTGGATTGGCTTCCCGACCCTCAGATGTTTCAGGATGCAGGGGTTGCCAATGCCTAGTGTCATGCGGGCCTCCGCTGTTTGCTGCAAGGAGGCAAATTGCTGGGAGGCAGATTTTTTTTCTTGTGCTAATCAAGCTGTGCTAAAAACGTAAATGAAACTAAAGCAGGTTGTTTGCTGTTTGCTGCAAGGAGGAAAATTGCTGGGAGGCAGAGGCAGATTTTTTTTTCTTTTTTTCCTCCCCAAAAAAAGGTAGGTGCGTCTTATAGTCTGGAGCATCTTATACTCCAAAAAATACGGTATGTTGCTGATGTCTTCCTTCTATAGTTTGTCTTTGATCTTAGATAGCTCTTGTCAGAGCATGGACATGGGTTTGTGAGCCACCATTATTCCCAGGGGTTGTAGAATCTGGACAGCCATTTCTGACGTTCCTTTGGTGTATGGTAGGACTTGTTTCCGTGCTGTGGTTGGATGAGTGGTCCGTTGGAGTTTGGATGATATGAATCGGAGTATGAAGTTTTTGGGATAGCCATTGCAGAGGGAAACACACTGCTTTTCTCAGTGATTTGGTGCGTCAGAGTGTCTCTGTGTTCTTCTGAAAAGGGTCTGGATGCAGCTCCTCTTGTATGTGGTAGGGCAGTTGCTTGCGAAACTAAGAATCTGGTTTGCGTGTGTAGATTTTCGGTATACGCTGGTTGTTAGTTCACCGTTAACCTGTCTTCTTATGTCAATGTAGAGGAAAGGGAGTCATTGGTCCTTTTCTTCCTCAAGTTGTTCTGTCCCTGTCTCACACACGCACACAAACAGTCAGCCAGGGGTTAAATAAAACTTGCAGACAATAAATTCCTTCGATAACAGGATTGGCAGCAACCCAGTAGCTGCTTGCCAAGAACTTTACTCACAGAGGGAGGTGTTCCTCCTCCGTCAGATAAACCAAAACAAATACACAAAGTCAAAGAATTGTCAAGTCCAGTCCGTATTAAATCCAAGGCAGGCAGATAACGTAGTTTCAGAGATACAATGCGACTCGCTAGTTGTTTAATTTTGTCCGTCACAGAGTCTGAATGGCCACCACACCCTCTTTTATCCCCTGTGGGGTGTGGTCCAGTGACTCAGCTTAATCTCTGGCACGCCTCCTTTTCTGCTGCGTGCGCTTGTCTCTCCGACGCTGACGTGGATCCAGCCAAGACTTATCTCCGTCACTGTCCGACTGCAACTGCTCGGAGATACCTGGCTCCTAGCCAATCTCTTCTCCCTCGGGAGACACCTGAGGCATTGCCAGAGAGGAGGGTCCTGGAGAGGGAGGCCTGGCCAACTCCTCTCCTTCACCTTCGGAGTCTTCTCCCTCCGATAAGACGGGCTCGGGGGTCGGAGTCACAACACAAGTGTGAAACTGATCCCAGTGAACATGTTATTAAGTAGGTGGTGTCTTCTAGTTTGGAGCGTTTAATAATGACAAAAGTGTCATCCACGTAACGTACCCGAAATGTTGGCTGGAAGGTCAGCAGGAATGTATGTTCAAGCTGTTGCATGATTGCATTTGCTATCTGGCCAGATATGGAAAGGATTTGTTTGTTTTTTAAAAAACTAAATATTGTTGAACTGGGGAGAAGCTGGGAGAGATAGGCTGAAAAAGAATGCAAATTAATAACCAAGTAGCCTCTGATTCAAGAGGTCTCCCCAGAAAGCTGGAGGATATTATGTAATGAAATAGGGGAACTTTTAATTAAAGAAGTTGCTATTTTCTGTAAAAAAGGATAAAATTCCACTCAGCAAATTATATTAGATTGTTTCTTTCTGTTTTCTATGTGCTGCTAAGTTGCACTTAAAGTTCTTATTTCTCCGTACAAGTTAGGATGCCATCTCTTTCACCCGGCAAAAAGAACTTAATTTTATTTTTAGTTTTCTAGTAAGTCTACAATATAGAATTCTGAGGACTCCTATTCACCAGGAAAAAGCATTCACTGAGAACTGACAAGGCCATTTATTATTTTCCTAGAACTGTCAGGTCCCAAACCAAGCATAACATGTGACAATTCTTCTAAGCTAAGTTTTTTTTAAAATTTATTATTTCACACCTACAGACAAAATCTTGCCAGATTAAGGACTCTATCTGCAACCACAATACACTCTGTGAACTAATAAGGAGGGGCTGTCTTCACTCTATTTCTCTCACATATGACGTTTGGGCTAAGTTGTCCTTTACTCTTGTGCAATGCGCCCTTTCCTTCTAGGGATCCACCTTCTCACTACATTCCATCATAGAACATTGTCTATACTTTTGTAATTTTATTTTAAGGTAAAACAGGTTTCATGTATATATCTTTTTTTTAAAAAAAAATTCTTTAATTTTTGTGAGGTTGGCCTATTTCCAGGTTCAAAGCCTTCAGTAAGTGCCTCTAAGCTATGTAGTTGCATTATAGCCATTATTTCAAGCCCCTTTCATTTTTACCTTTTAATTGACAAAAAGACTATACAAATTGTGAGAGTTCTACTTTCTCATACAGTGGGATTAGAGAGAGAGTGACAAGAGCAGTAGCCCATGAAAGATAGGCTGCGACAGTGGAAACCACCAAATCATTCCCCTTTTGTGTTGGAGGCACATATAAGGCGCTTCCGGTTTGAAAGGATTAGCTGGTGACATCACTGTTGCCCGTGGGATGCCCGTGGGGGCTCCTTTCATGTCCCTGTCAAGGAGCTGGAGTGAATGATGGGAGCTCATCTCACCACGCAGCAGCACTCAGGTCTTGCAGCATCGTAACTATGGGAGCCACCATGCTCCCACTAAATCATTATCTCAGGGTAAGAGACAGTGCCAGAATCTGAAGAACTGGGAGATCACCAATTGTTCAGCCCACATTGTTCAGCCATTTCTGCTATCCAAATAGTTTTGGGCCTGAGGCAAATTTCATTCAGCAGAATCTTTTGCTCAGCTGAGCAAATATCCATGATTAAATCCGTACTTGAAAAAAACCAACAATTAAAAAACCCTAGATATTATGAATATTGTTTTATAAGAAATACTTTAGCCTTACTCCTTCACGAGGACAGTAGGTCTCTTCTAAGATAATGTTTCTTTGATACATATAATTGCAGTACTGTATACCTTTTATTCCAAAATAATCATTTTAGTCACAAGCAAGTATATGCCGACTTAATCAGTTCATTCTCAGGTGAGTAACTGCTTCCAAGTCATACAAACTCTTTTGTAATGAAATACAAACTGAACCACTTCCAAGTCTTTCCACAGGATTGACCCCCTTTGCTTTAAATTATTTTTAATTTTTAAAATTCGACTGGCGGCCCCTAGGGGGAGAGCCTTCTCTGTGGGGGCACCTACCATCTGGAATGAGCTCCCCCCGGAGATACGGAGGATCCCGGATTTGCGCTCCTTCCGCCGTGCTGTGAAGACTTTTTTATTCCATCAGGCGGGCTTGGCCTAATTTTCTTCCCTTTTTAAATATGTAAATTTTAATCTGTTTTTAAATTATTGGGGTGTTTTAATCTGTCTGGGCAAAAATGATTTAATTTGATTTTATCTGTTTTTTAAATTTTTTGTATTTATGTATTTTATTGTTGGCTGTTCACCGCCCTGAGTCCTTCGGGAGTAGGGCGGTATACAAATCAAATAAACCTAAACCTAAACCTAAACCTAAAATTCCCTTTTCTGTCTGAAAATGAAAGAAAAATACAGAGATGAGCACTGGTCCTACCATTAAGCAAAATGAGATGATTGTCTTAAATGGCAGAACTTAACAAATACATATTATTTTTCCTTCTTAACTATTTTATTGGGTTTGGTTGTGACAGATAATGATACCCCATTATCAGTGTTGATATTTAAGTTAAGCATTCTGCTGCCAGTGGAGCAAAGCTAACACTTTATGCAGAAAAATATTGTGGTTGGGAAGTGATATTCTATTAAACCTGCTCTTGCTGCTCTTACTGAGAGGTTACCAAATACAAGCAAACCAAAACTATTTATTAGCCAATTTAGGCTTATTAGGACCAAATTATTTAAGCTATTTTCCCCCTACTTCTGAGTACCTCAAGGATGTTACCACTGGAAGTAAAGACTTAAAAATTGGACCTGTTTATTGAGAGGTGGAGAGAGGTATAAAAATAAAATAGGTGAGTTAAGTCTATTACCTAGAGAGAGTTGTTATAGTTATTTTAGCTCTTACTTAAACATAAAGATTTATTAGATGTTGTTTAAAAGTAAAAAAAATGACCTCTTTGTCCATGATAATTTATTGCTGAATTTAGGTGCTCTTGGGAAGCTCCATGAATATAATGGGATATGCAAATAACCTCGAAGAACAGGAGGAAGAGCAGCCAAGGAAACCCTCAGATAAGAGAAATCTTGGTTCTGAGGTAGAAATGTAATTTAAGAAAGGATTCAGAGTTGACCCTCCCTAGTTCTCTTTAGCATAAAGTTGGATGGGGGTGAATACTTTCAGACTTGCAAGATTCTGTTACTGTAACCCACTGGTCTACTTTGGACTGTCAATGAACCCCCAAATAGAGTCTTGGATCATATATGGACTCTGTATCACTTTGTTAATTACTGGTTTAGATACTGATTTTTAAAACTCTGACTGATAATTTAGGTGAACAAATTCTTTGATAGTATAAACTGCCCACATTTGTTCATTCATTCACCTCACAGACCTCCATTCAACCAGACAAAACAACTGCTTTTTGTTTTGGTTTTGTTTCATCAGGGCATTTGTGAAGTATTGCGACTTGTTAATCTCAGCACTTGTCCATCTTATCAAAAATGGATCACTAAACAGCTGCATTTTCCCAAAAACAAAATATCCACAAAACAAAGGCAGCATATGGATTCTGGTATGTTACATGTTGACTTTTATAAAGGTGTAATTCTTGTTACAACATATAGCAATGGTATTGGTCTTACAATCCAAATAATTAGTTCTTTGTGGGCAAAATATTTAAGGCAAAAATACTTTATGATTGGAAGATAGAGAGAAAATATCAACTCCAGATAGTCTTTGGGTTATGACCAGTTTTTCAATGACTGTTCAGAATTATAACAGTGCTGAATAAGGGGAACTTGCAAAGAGTCCTTAGAATTCAGCATTCCTGCAGTCATATTATCATGATCAAGGTTCTTTCTGCCCAGTTTATAATTACAATATTTCAGCAAGCCGCGGTCACGTGATAGGAATTTTTGAGATTTTGGAATTGCCATGGCTAAGTGATGTGGTCATGTGACATTACACTTCATGACTGCATTGCTTGGTTCCCAGTCCCATTTGCCATCATAATTAATCTTTTTAGTTTGTTTTTTATTGATGGTGTGTTGTGTATATACATGTATACACACCAACACAAATCATTTTTATTATGCAACTATATATTTACCTTTGTTAAATTATTTTCCCAATTTAATTTGCAAGTGGAAATCTAAAAATATTAGACTCTAAAATTTTAAGCTTTGATTACGATAAAAAGCAGATATTATGTCATACTATTCTATCAAGTTTTATTCTCCTTTGCTAATCTTTGCATGAAATGCTTTTCAGGAAAGCATGTAATCAAACAATTTAGTTTACATTTCTATGGAACATTCTTGTGCAATTCTAGGGAAACCTGTTGCTATAAAATAGTTGTTGATAGAGAGAAAATGACTTATTTATTTAAAGAAGGTACAACAAAAAAATAGTTGAAGACTGGAAGCTCACCTAAACTAAGAAAGAAAGAAAGAAAGAAAGGAATAAGCAAAGTAGGGCCTTTCTTTAAAATATCCTATACTATATATGGCATCAAAGAGAGAGAGAGAGAGAGGGAGAGGGAGGGAGAGAGGAAGGGAGGGGGGTAAAATGTAGGAAATGAGAAATGGGAAAAAAAAGGAAATATTTTTTATTTGTTAGTTTATCATTTTCAAAGTTTACTGAAGAATAGAGAGACAAAACAAGAAAAATGTCCATCCTTCACAACTGAAAGCTATTACTTCCCTTTTTCCATATTTCAAAATCAGCATTTGGCTTTAATAACTTTTTTACCCAGAAGTTTGCTTCAACTGCATGGCAGAACTATTAGCAAATCTTCATTCTTATCATATTTATTTGCCTTTTCTATGTTCTGCCCGAATCTTAATACAGTATTGCATTAAGTAAAACACTGTAAGTAAAACACTGTAAGAACAAACAAACAAGAAATTTGAAAATGTTCTAATTTAACTCCTGACTTTAAAAGCATACCAGGTATGAAAACAAAGGATAGAGTTGGATTGAGTAACTTCTGCAATATCTTTTCTCCCCCTCCCCTTTCCAGAGATTGCCTGTGTTGATAGATTTAAAAGCAGTATGTGGACCTCCTACTCTGGACACAAATTAAGGGACCTGAAAACATATTACTTACAGAGGAACAATTTATCCTGTGAAAACTATAAAAGCTATGAAAAGCAGATCTGTCGCTCCAATAAGAGTTGTAAAAGTGTAGTGATAGATGAGCAGAACCCTGAGAAAAGGTACAAAGAGCATTGCTTGAGTCTCTGAAGGATGGCATATTTGTTGGCACTTTCATTCCTGGGAGGTCTGAGGCCTTGCTGAGGGCAAGCTGCCTTGGAGTCCCAAGCATGATACAGGTAAATTGAAGACATGTGTGCATAGAGGATAGATCAGGAAAAAGCTGTAGATCAAGAACTGGGGGCTATAAGGCTGTGATACGGTTGTGTAGAAGATAAATGAATCATAGAAATACTTTTGGAGGCCAGTTTTTCATTTTGCCAAAGACCGCATGAATTTTCACCAAAGTGGGCACTTTTACACCAAGGGCCGCTGGGTTAATTTACTGGGTTACTGGAAAGAATCAATAAACTTTAAGTCCAGCTTCTTAAACAAGGGCACAGATGGTAAAAATCCAGAGGAGAGCCACACCAAATCCCCCACTACAATCTTGACATCCTCTTGCCTGGATGAATCTGTGGTGTACTTGCACACTGCCTTTGTCAAATGTAGCTTTTCTTTAAGAGGAGCTGAGTAGCTTGGGGCCAGATCACCTTAGGGACCATCTTCTCTCAGTCATTTCTATCCATTCAATTTGGTCAGGCAGGTTTGGTCCATCAGCCAAGGAATATTGGTTGATAGGGACTTGGACATGTTATTTCTCTGCCACAGTCCCTGCCTTCTGAAATATTCTCCCTTCAGATATCAGGATGATCCCGAAACCAAGGCTGTGATGACTTGGTTGTGTGCCCAGGCCTGGAGTCCCAAGTGTGCTAAGAGCCTTGTTGCCTGACTGTAGTACCATCCATAATAACAGTTTTACTTGGTGTCATATGTATTATTTTGTGCTGTCTTAATTGTTTCAATGTTTTATAATGTACCCTGCCCAGAGTTGCTTGTTGAGATGAGCAGCTATACAAATCAATCAATCAATCAATCAATCAATCAAACAAACAAACAAACAAATAAATATTGTGTGTTGTACAATAGGACCAGCTCAAAGCATTTTCCATCAATAGTTTCTACAAACATAGGTTTCTCTGATAATCAGTGTGGGCAATTTAAACTGTTGCATTATGGCCTCATCTATGAAATTAACTGCTGTATCTAACTCTAAAAAAGTAGAGCCCAGTATTTGTATATCTGACATTGTACAAAGAATAACAGGGATAATTTACATATTGTTGATTGTCTGAGCTCTTCTTAATTGTTTGAGGGCACAGCTGTTAAGCTCCTGGGAGAAGAATCAGCCAAATTTCCTGAAGTAGAGACTTTTGACCAATTTGGGCACTTGCTTGCCACATGGCATACAGTTCCACAGGTGTGGCACTTACAGCAGCAACTGACTCAGAGATCTATACTTTAGTATACAAGCTTTGGCTAAATATCCTCTTGGTTTACTGTTGCTCTCTTAGATATAGCATCAGTTCTAAGTCTTTATTTAAAGTTCTGGTAATTTTCCATTAAAGAACTGTTGCCCTCAATGACTAGCACAGCTCATTTGAATGTTTCTTCTTTCAGCTGGCTCAGAACAAAAGTCACTCTGGCATGATCTATAGGAAATTCTGCTGGTTGACATGTCACAAAAAATTCACAATGCGTTGTAAAAGTGAGAAATTGATCCTGGGTTCCTACAAATATTTCTGACAAAATCCCATGGAAGTGAAGAAATACTGAAAGGACTGTTTTTTGCTTGGGCAAACCTAGTCCCAAATGTTACGTTATCTGTAGTTTGTTATTTATACATCCACTTGTTATTAATGTTGTAAAAATGTTTTAGCAAGTTGTTCTGTGGGATCACATGGCATAATTAGATGCATCTTTGAGTAGAGCACTGAAGCATACAAGATTGATGTCAACCCTTTGAAGTAGGCTAGATTTGGAAACAGACACCCAGCAACTACTGGAACTTTGTAATTGTAGAATATCTTGAAAGCTTGACATGTTTTTCCTTACCCTCTTTTTATATGGAGGAGATCCAAGGCAGGATTATCTTAATTTGGACCTGGGGGTCAAATTCCTAGGAAACATGATCTGCAACAAGCCCCCACTCTAGCCATCATCCCCACCCAGAAAGAAACAGGAGATGGAAACATCATCAGCATACCAGCTTGATGGCCATCAGCAGCATATCAGGGTTGAATGCTACCCTTGGTACAATAGGTTTTATAGATGCCCATTTTGTTTACAAAGAGCACAGAGCATAGAACATTAGAATAATAAGGTTGGAAGGGACCTTGGAAGGGACCTTCTAGTTCAACGCTCTGCTCAAGCAGGAGACCCTATACCATTTCGGACAAATGGTTGTCCAATCACTTCTTGAATACTTCCACTGATAGAGTACGCACAACTTCTGAAGGCAAGCCATTCCACTGATTAATTGTTTTCACTGTCAGGAAATTTCTCTTTAAATCTTGATTGAATTTTTCTTTAATAATCTTTCACCTATTATACCTTGTTCTACTCTCAAGTGACAGCCAGAGAAGAGGGAATTGACAGCCATTCAAATATTGGAACACTGCTATCATGTCACCCCTTGTCCTTCTCTTTGTTAGACTAGATATACCTAGCTCTTGCAACTGTTCATTGTATAGTTTAGCCTCCAGGTCCCTTATCATCTCTGTTGCTTTTCTCTGCACTCTTATCTAGACTAGAGTCTCAACATCTTTTTAATATTGTGGTGACCAGAACCGGATACTGTATTCTAAGTGTGGTCTTACCAGGGTATTATAAAGTGGTACTGGTAATAACACCTCATGTGATCCTGATACTGTTCCTCTATTGATGCAACCTAGAATTGGCTGCTTTTTTGGCAGATGCAGCACATTTCTATCTCATACTTAAATGGTTGTCCATTATGAATCGTCTCACAATTACTGCTGTTGAGCCAAATAACTCCTGCTCTATACCTGTGCATTTGGTTTTTCTTGCCTAAGGAAGACCTTACTTTTCTCACCCTTGAATTTCAGGAGGAGGAGAAGAGAGGGGAAGTGACTGCCTCCTTACCTCGTACCGGCTGCTCCGTTGCCTGTTTTGCCATTTCTGCGCCACAAAACTTGCCCCACCCACCACCACCCAGATGCCCTGGCTTCCCCCAAGCATTTCTTTGTCTACCTGATTTCCAGCTGTCGCATTTCTCTGTTGCTTTTCTTGTCATCGTGTGCAGGGAAACAAAAGTTTGTGGGACTAAAAAAAAAAGTTCACTCAATCAATTCCAACTTCATGAGATATTTTTCTTTTGCAAGAAGTTGGAATTGATTGAACTTTTTTTTTTAGTCCCACAAACTTTTGTTTCCCTGCAAACAACGGCGAAAAACATGGCAGAGAAATGCGATGGAACTGGGCTGGGGCGACAGCGTGTGCCCACAGAGAGGGCTCCGAGTGCCACCTCTGGCACATGTGCCATAGGTTTGCCACTACCGCCCTATACCATTTCAGAAAAATGGTTGTCCAATCTCTTCTTAAATCTTCCAGCGTTGGAGCATTCACAACTTCTGGATGCAAGTTGTTCCACTGATTAATTGTTCTAATTGTCAGGAAATTTCTCCTTAGTTCTAGGTTCCTTCTTCCTGCTGCCCAACATGACATGTGCTGGCTGGGGACTCTGAGATTTGTGGTTCAGACTCATCTGAATGTTAGGATATAGAGAGCCAGGGAAATTGTCTTAAAGCAGGGGTCTGCAACCTTAAACACTCAAAGAGCCATTTGGATCCATTTCCCACAGAAAAGAAAACACTGGGAGCCACAAAACCAGGGGTGAAATCCAGCAGGTTCTAACTGGTTCTGGAGAACCGGTAGCAGAAATTTTGCGTAGTTCAGAGAACCAGCAAATACCACCTCTGGTTGGCCCCAGAGTCGGGTGGGAATGGAGATTTTGCAATATCCTTCCCCTGCCACACCCACCAAGCCACACCCACAGAACCGGTAGAGAAAAATTTGAATTTCACCCCTGCACAAAACCCTTCCCGTGCCTGACTATTTCTTGAGCGGCTACAAAACTAGCATATGTAGTTGGATTAAATGTTCTGGTTTCTTCTGAAACTTTTCTTTTCTTGGATTTATCCATGGTTGGCCTACCGGGAATTGAAAAGCTCAATAAATTGCGTGCTAGCGGGTGTCGCACATTGGTGGTTGTGACGTATATTTTGAATGACAGGGAGCCGCAGCAGAGGGGTGAAAGAGCCACATGTGGCTCCAGAGTTGCAGGTTGCTGACCCCTGCCTTAAAGCAAACATCAGAAATTGATGACAGGTGCATTCCTTAAATCTTGGAAATGGAGACTGCATTAGGAGGAGACTCAGGTTGGGTCCTCCCTGCCTCCCAGGGTTAAAGAGAGAGGGGAGAAAAAACAGAATCAGACTTGCAGGAGTTTGCATTAGAACCCACCTAAATAAAGTAGAATTCTGGTTCTCCTGCAGAATTTGCTTCCTGATTTGGTCTTTCTCCAAGGGCTGATATAGGGAAGGAAAATAACAGCAGGGGCTGCCTTGTTTTGAAGATGTGTGTTGTTTGTTTGTTTTTTAAAGTTGGTTCTTGTTGTGAATTCAGAGGGGAAAGTATTGGTCTTTGAGACTAAAACCCTACACCGACCAAGCAAGAGTTAATATATAAGTTTATCTGCTTAAATTCAAGCATCCTTCATGAACCGGTACCATCTGAAGAACAAGAGCTGGTGCAAAACGTTGTATCAGGAGTATTCAGACAGAAATCACACTCAGCCTATGGAGAAATGCCAAGTTCTGTTGCCGCGGCTGTATATATCCGACTAGATCAACTCTATAAAGGAGATTACATAGTAAGTAAATCTGTAAGCTGACAGTTGGGGATAGTGATAAAGATACAATGAACATGAAAAAAGCAAAAATAATCCTGAATAAGTGTGATTTAATGTATTTCCTTTACTTCATTTATGATATATTTTGATAGCCATATGAGGGCTATGTGTATGTGTATGTAGTACTTCATCAGGATCAATGACTAGAACTCCATTTTTAAAAAGTAAAAATTGATCAAGGATCAAAGCACCATGGGGGAAAAAAAAGAAAAAAAGAAAACAGTAGTTTCAACCAAAATGAAAATATGTATAGCCACCTGCTGGACTCCAATCTAATCACATCACATTCGTGACAAATGACTGCTCTAGGCACACTTAATTCTTAATTAATTAATTCTAATTCTTAGAAATTTAGATTGTAGATTTTGTTCTATAATAACCCAACATAAGTAAGGCCTTTCTACGAATAGGAATAGTGGGAGAGGAAGCTGCTGGTATTTATTCAGCAACTACAATGGCAGTTATTGCACATCTTTCCTTATATCAAGAAAAAAAATACAAGTTTAAAGATTTAAAGTTAGATTTTGTAAAAACTCTGAACCTATATGGAAGTGGCTGTATGTATGGTCTATATACAGCACTGGAATCCTGCCTCCCCACCCAATATTCCATTGGACCATTGGAAACATTCAAAAGTTGCTCCATGGTTACAATGACTGTATTTTCTTGGAAAAAATAAAGGACAAACCTAAAAAGGGGGGGAAATCTGAGAGCTTCATAAGGATAAAAGTGTTTAATTGCTTATGTTATAACTTTGCTTTACAAAGGAAGATTCAAGATGAAAACCAAGAATTTTTTTACAAAAACACATGTTCTAATAAAAATATCTAAAAAGCATGAAACGCTATTAGAAGCAAGTATTTCTGCAGACTGTGCATTAAATGGTACTCTTTGTATGCTAAAAATTAAATCACCAAAATAAAGGACAAAAGTGAGTTTTTGAAAAATAAACCCAAAGGATAGCTTTCTGAAATAATGTTCTTTATAAGAAAGAACATATAGTCATTGTATCCATGATACGCCTGAGTGAGTGGTGTAGGAGGCTAATGCCTCCTACTAAGGCAGCATTTAACATCCAGCTGCCTGCAATTACTGCGAATTCAATTCTCACCAGGCTCAAGGTTGACTCAGCCTTCCATCCTTTCTAAGGTGGGTAAAATGAGGACCCGGTTTGTGGGGGCAATAAGATGACTTTGTATAAAATATACAAAAGTATGAAGGCTATTGCTTAGCACATTGTAAGCCACCCTGAGTCTCCGGACAAGGGCGGCATATAAAAATAAAAAAATAAAATAAAAAAATAAGCTGACAGGTACATCATTTGTATTTCTTAGGTAAATCTGGATGACAGTCGTGTCATCGTTATGGTCAGTCAAGGAGTTGAACTAATCCGACTGAAAAAAGAAAAGATTGAGGCATGGGCTGATGACGTTATTCTCATGAAATTGAACAAACTAAAGATTAAATATCCCAGGTGGGTGTAGCTGAGGCTGGCATTTGCTGAATTCATGTGAAAATGCTCATGATCAACATTGGATCATGGTCAAAGAGGTTTATGCATCATTTACTGTATCTAGTGAAAGTCTTGCAGAACTTCCTTACTATGAATAGAATTCAAATTTAAAAATTTTGTGTAGAACTCCAAGCAGCTGGCTTACTTTTTTCTTTGGGATGAAAAAGAAGCCAAGAATCATTCTACAGAATTATCACCAGTGTGATATAGCAGATAAACGCTCTACTAGGATTGGAGGGACCTTGGTTCAAGTCCACGCTCAGCTCTGGAAACTCGTTGAGTGATCAGGCTTGTCCCATGCTCTCAGCCCTCCCTTATCTCACAGGACTGTGGTTGTGGTTGATAAAATGAAGCTCCCTATGGAAGCTGCCTTGTTTTCCTAGAAGACAAGACAATTTATCTATTAAACAACTAAACAATGCAGGTAATCCCCCAGGTAGAAACTTTCATTTAGTGAATTTTCACAAGAACAAATTTATTCAGAAAGGTACTGATGTTAGAAATTAAACCAAATGCAAGTTTGGATTTTTGTTTTTGTTTTTGATGCTGCGTGGGATTGAGGACTAGGGCTAGAATTGAATGCTAGAATTGTTTCTGTAACTATTTTAAAATATTCTTTTTTGTTTTTCTATAGTACTGTACTGTTTGTAAGTACTTTGGGAACTGCTCTGCTTTTTAAGTACTATACTTTGCAAACTATTGTGTTTGTAAGTACAATACTTTGCAAAGATAAAGTTTGTTTGCCTTGAAACTGCTTGTAGAAATGCTAGCTAGCATCTAGACAAAGCATTCTATAATGTTTTTCCTTGCTTTTATTTTTATTTTTATTTTGGAGATTAGCAATAGCACTTTGATTTATATACCACTTCACAGTGCATTACAGTCCTCTCTAAGCGGTTTATAGTGTCAGCATATTGCCCCTAACAATCTAGGTCCTCATTTTACCGACATTCATTTAAAGATCCTTTTGATTCAATTAATGAATTTGATTTTAAAAATTCGTAAAATTGAGACAAATTTTTTTACTTACAAACCTAAAGGGCAGGCTCCATTAGTTTCGTACCTCGAGGACTACCTGTAGTGTTACTGCTGCTATTAATGCTAGTAACGTACACTTTTTGCCATTCTGGAATTGGAAATCCTTTGGTCTGTAGGGAGAACTGGAATCACTAGAATCTCCTTCGTATTCTTCATCAGGCTGGTTAATGGCTCATATTTGTCCTTTCCAAGGAAAAAAAGTCATATTTGAAAATAGACAAAGTGGTCGGGTTTTTCTTTCTTCTTCTTTTAACAAAAATGTTCCATATACCCACAGCTACACATGGGTTTCCTCAAAAACTACTTCTCTTCTAAAGGGCTTCCTGGCCTAAACTGGTGATCTATGGATAACTATGTAAATTTAACTTCCCCGTTTTCCTCCAGTATCTAAGTCTCTATTAGAGATGTACATTGTCCTCTCCTTCATAATTCTGAATCCAAATAAGCATTTATTACCAGCAGCACTGTAATACATAAGGGCAGGTTCGTAAGTAAGCTGGAGAACAACTGGATGGATGGGTATGAAAGCAAAAGAGAAAGTACTGGTCTCCTTATCCTCCAAATACCAAACTTCTCCTTGGCCACAACTTTTATCCTTCCCAAATTATTCAGAATATTTCCCAAAACAGTTTTAACAGTTTTAAGACTTTAAGCAGCAGCTCTAGCCAGGAATACCTCCTTTTCAAAGTACTGAACAATCATTACTAAATCATTATGAGTATCTCTGAGTGTTCAGGAGGATCTGTGTACTGGTGAAAGCAATTTTAGTATGGTGGTTGCAAGGAGCAAGGGCCCTGATGGAGTTTTGAGAGTTGATTAATAGAAGAAGGATTCTCATCCTTGTAACAGAGAATTGTGTGTCCAGCACTGTGGAATCTCTATAGACATGCACTGGGTGGGAAACCATGAACTGTCAGACTGGAATCCAGCTTACTCAGCTTCAGCACTTTTTGTATCTCAAATCCCAATGAGCACTTTAACTTTCCCTTTCCTCCCCACCATGCAAAAGTACTTGACTAACTGTCAAGAATAGGAAAAAGATAAAGTGTAGAGACAAAGAACAGTATTATATCTGAGAAATTTAGTAAAGAAAATGTATATTTGATTATTCATGTAATAACTGCAGCAAGAATTGTATTTGCACAAAATTGGAAAGCGGAAAAAATCTCTACAGGGGGAGAGGTAATTAAGAAAATACTAGAATGTGCAGAAATGAATAGATTAACACTGGCAATTAAAGGGAAGGAAGAATCGGAATATTATAATATATGGGGGCATTATCATTGGATGGAAAGTGAATATGGACAAAAAGTAGTATAAAATTAAATACATTTGGAAGAAAAATGCTTTAACTGGAGATACAATAAATTGAAATGTAAAAGTAAAGATATGTACATATTAAGAAAATGGTGGTAAGCGTTAAATATGATGACACAAAAAATTTGTACCCAGATGACACACTGATTGATTAATGATGTAATGTTTGTTATGAAGAGAAAAAAAAACTGTTTATAAAATAAAAAAATAAAAAAAAAACAGGAAGAAGATAAAGTGTAGAGACAAAGAACAGTATCTAAAATGCTCTCCACATAGACATAATGAATGTATACATACATGCCATAAACAAATATGTGTCCCAGAATAATGTTGCAAAATCCAATCTGGGTCAGTCACCAGGATCAGAGTTTACTCTTCTGAGTGTCAGGGTTCCAACTCTAAGGCAGGTAGATTCCTCAAAGAATAGCTTTATTGGAAATATCATAACTCCAAGCTTTCAGACTCGTGCTGCAGCCCATCCTCAGGGAACTGGAGCCCAAAGCACATATTCCAATAGAGATAAGTTCCTGAGGGTGTGCTCCAGCACGAGTTTGAAAGCTTGAAAGAGTAAACCTCTAGTCGCAGTGACAGATCCAGATTAGATACATGCCATACCTCAACCTACAAATACAAGTCAGGAATCAAGTGAGATGATAAGCTTCAACCAAAAGAAACAAAAGGAAAAAAGGAGAGCCATCATCAGAAGCAACTTAGAACTAAGGAGAAATTTCCTGAAAGTTAGAACAATTAATCAGTGGAACAACTTGCCTCCAGAAGTTGTGAATGCTCCAACACTGGAAATTTTTAAGATGTTGGATACCCATTTGTCTGAAGTGGTGTAGAGTTTCCTGCCTAAGCAGGGGGTTGGACTAGAAGACCTCCAAGGTCCCTTCCAACTCTTGTTATTCTATTATTCTATCATGACTTTCTAAATACTACAGAGAAGAGGGAAAGATGCTGGTGGGATGTGACAATCATATCTGATGAGTTCATTTAAATGTAGAGAAACAATACTTAAGACATTTAGAAATAGAAAGATCTGCTGCTTAAAAAGAGGAATCCAGTTTTTAATATTGCTTTCACTTTTCAGTGATGATGAGCTGTGTCAGATCTTCCTTCGACAGAATGCCTGGGAAATGTTTAAGAAAGATCTATTGAAACTTGTGATGGAGCCCAAACTCATGAAAATGGTACATCCTCCACATCCATGCCCTACAGCTGAAATCTTTGATTCCTGGAGTTTGAATCAAGAAGGAATCTTGGATCTTACTTCTTTGTGTTACAGAATACCACGTCCACCACCTAAACTGAAATACATTCCTATTCAATTAACCCAAACAAGAGAAAGTCTACCAGTTATTCTACCAAAGCTGATTCATGGCATCTCAGTTGTGCGTCCCAATTTGGATGGCGCATTTTAATAGCATCAGGGTTTGGATGTATAAGTCAGCCACATAGGCACAGTTCTAAAAGACTGAAGGATGATACTACTTATGTGTTTATGGCTATTTGCACATAAATATGCATTTGTCAAAGACTACATTTCTTTTTATAATTGATTGATACAATGATTTGTGTATCTGGTCCATTTCATTTTTTTATGATGTTGTAGGGAGACAAATTTCTTTTATAAGGTAGGTTTCCCCATGCATATATATATGCATCAGTAAATTCATGTTTTGTGGTTAGTGCTGAAATGCTTACATACTATATTTAATTCTTTATTTATGTATTAAATGTTTATGCCAGCTATCTCTGCTATACGGTAACTCTGGGTGGCTTAATGCACAAAAATGCTACAGGATATCTGGCTTTCCCTCTGTAGGCTGATCTCCTGACTCTCATCATTCTTGAAATATCCTGCAAATGTCATATTAACATAACATGCATGGTTGAATAAGCATGACCTACTGTTTCAACATGAGACTGAAAAGGAAACATATACTCCAACATTTTAAGACCAAAAGCTTTATAATCAAATAGCAATATAAACTGCACTGGTTATAATTTAAAGTGATTCAGAGTATTTGGAAAGCCAATAGACCAGAAATGGAGATGTGGCTTTCCAGATCTTCTTAGGCTTTCATTTCTGCAGTGCTACACATGATGGATGCTACAATGTGGAATAAGAGTATTGTGCTTTTAAGGAGAGTTGATAGCCAGCAGATGCCCATTAGACAGCTACTTCTAATTAGTCTGATTTACTTATATATTTCAAGGTACTTTCTGAGGTACTTTCAATCACCTTACGTACACTGGTCGCTGTGTGTACTTGGCTCCCTTCCTATGTCTAAAAGGACTTGCTTGTCATCCGAAGGGGACCTCAGATCTAAGGTACAGCCTTGGGATGGTGCTGCTGGGCTAATGAAAGCTACTCTGAGTCAAAAGTGAGTGTACTCTAAATGGCCAAACTTCCAATCTCTGATGTCCTGCCCACAGCAGAAAACTGCAAATATTGGCAAAAGTGGCTCCAGCGCTTCAATTCAGTCTGATTGTTTGCAGGTCCTAGGAAAAAGAAAATAAACTTCAGGGCTTTTTGCATTTTACTTGAAAAGAAGCAGAGATGATTTATAATCTGTTATTGTTTATGCAAAAGGGGTTAAACAATAATAGACACCTTTCCTGCGTACTTTAACCATAGAAGGACATAATTTTTGAAATGCATTTTTTAAATATCAGGATTCAAGGAGTAAAGGAGATTGTGTTGATTGTATGCCAAAAAGACTTAAGCGTGTGAATTTGGAGAACTGCCTATGTTGTTTATAAACCATCCAGAAAGAGAAATTGTTCATATAACATGATTTGACCCTGGATGAAGCAGTAAATATAGTCAGAATAGAAAAATCCTTGATATCTCAAATCCAAATTTTGAAAGCCTCTGGGAGAGATACATATATTGTTTAAGTTAGCTCAACTTTGGAACAGACATCTTACAGGAAGCCATCTAGGCTGTAGAAATCTACAAATGTTCTGCTAAAGTCAACAATAATGTCAACAATGGTAAGAAATATTCTAGGCATTTGTTGGATAAAGTCTTGTCTTTGGAGTGGACTTTGGCTAAGCAGTTCCAGTTGAAATGGCCAAGTCACATCCTAGCTTGGTTATCTGAGAGGAGTTTGAGGTGATCAATTTTGAACAAGTGGACAGAGGTTCTACTTCTGTGAGTTCTGCCACCTGGAGTTTGGACTAATGCCTTTCTGCAAGCCTTGAAAGAGGTGGTGGTTCACCCTCTGCTCAGAAGGCCATCCTTGGACCTGTTGGTTTTAGATAACTTTTGTCCAATCTCCAACCTTCCCTTTTTAAGAAAGGTTGCAGAGAAGGAGTGGGCTCCCACTATAAAGGACCTTGGATGAGGTTGTTTTATCTGGATTCTTTTCAATTAAGATTCAGGCTATAATACAGATTCTTAATTGGTTGCACTTGTGGATGACCTTTGGAGGACTTGGGATGGGGGTGGCATATCAATCCTGGCACCTGTGGATCTCCCAGCAGCTTTTGATACCATTGACCTGGTAGTTTGCTGACCAGCTCTGAGGAGTGGGAGTGGGGGCACTGTTTTGCTGTAGTTCTCCCCCTTTTTTCCTGATTGATATTGATCAGTGCTAGTGGGGAAGAAGAGATCTAGCCTTAGGCCCAGTGGTGAAATTCAAATTTTTTTACTACTGGTTCTGTGCGCGTGGCTTGGTGGGTGTGGTGTGGCTTGATGGGCACGGCTTGGTGGGTGTGGCAGGGGAAGGATACTGCAAAATCCCCATTCCCTCCCCACTCCTGGAGGAATGATATTGCAAAATCTCCATTCCTACCCCACTCTGGGGCCAGCCAGAGGTGGTATTTGCTGGTTCTCCAAACTACTCAAAATTTCTGCTGCCGGTTCTCCAGAACCTGTCAGAACCTGCTGGATTTCACCCCTGCTTAGGCCCGTTTGTGGGGCTGCCTCAGGACTCAAGTCTCTCTTTCCTTCTATATAATAGCTATTTGAAGCTACTGGGAGAGGTCATGCACTGGTATTGTACTTGGGGTCATCAATGTTGGAAGGAAAATCCATCTGATTCAGTTCCAAGCTGGGAGAAAGATGCTGGAAACAATTTGAAAGAAGGTCCATTTATTGATGAACAGAACCACCAGGTTTTGTGGTTCTGGTGCAGCTGACAAAATGGAGTTGAGAGTGGGTGGGTTTTTATACTTTTGGGCTTTGTATTTGAGCTGCTCCTGTGCAAGAACATGTCCTTTAATATTCTATTGGCTGTTATCATATTCCTATGGGGTCACGGCTGGCTCTATAGGTAAAATGGGAAATGCAAATTCTAGATGTTTATCTGAGCTAATCCTCTTAACCTTTTTGGCTTGCCTAATTGCTTATTTGGAGTTTCCTGTCTGACCCAGTTTTTCTGAACTGATTACCAAACCTGCATTTCTAAAAGCTGGCTGCCTCAGTTTCTGCTTGGGGGCAGGGAAACTAGGGCTGGTTTCTGCCTCCCTTAAGATTTTCCCCCATTTCTCCTTTAGGGAAATATTCTATCCTATCGTTTTAATATTCCCCAAAATATTTCATTCTTTTTTTGGGGGGGGCTCCCACAATTGTATGGTATGCAGTTGGGGAGGGGGTCTTTATGAACTCAAACTCAAAGAGCCTTGGTAGTACAGTGGTCTAAAGCACCCTGTTATTAAGACCAGCTGCCTGCAATTACTGCAGGTTTGAATCTCGTCAGGCTCAAGGTTGACTCAGCCTTCCATCCTTTCTAAGGTAGGTAAATTGAGGACCCAGTTTGTGGGGGCAATAAGATGACTTTGTATAAATATACAAAAGAATGAAGGCTATTGCTTAGCGCATTGTAAGCCGCCCTGAGTCTCCGGAGAAGGGCGGCATATAAATCAAATAAAAAAAAAAACACAAAAAACTCCTGCTGGAAAATAGGTAGCAGTCACGGCCAGAGGCCTTTTGCACAAATCCATCTTGTGTGCCAAGTGCATCCATGACAAAGCAATAAAAATATCAAATAATTGCATTATACATAGTTTATATTGTTTTCCAAGTAAAGGTTTTTAGAAACTACAGATAGATTTGGAAGTAATAAAGCTAGTTAGCTATTATGTATTGCCACACTGAGCCACAAAGAACTACCTTTTGTTGGTATCTTATCTCCACAGCAAAGAGCAATAAATGGTAACTGAAAACAGAAGACATATTCTTGAGTTTTTCCCCAACTGTTTTTTGTAACATAACGTAACTGTTTTTTGTAACATAAGGTAAGATGAGAAGTGTAGTGGCGACTCCTATAAATAGAGACGATTCCTATAAAGTGGGCATGGTTTGGGATCCTCATCTTAACGCTGAATGGTATAGTATATTGCATAGATTTGTCATTGTTTTGGATTTGAATTCAAATCTGACTAATATAAGCAGAGGTGCAGTATCATTAATTTTTATTGGATTCATTTAAGCATTGCTTGGAAAAGTAATTAAAACCTCTCAAATATATTTACTTTGATTAAAAGTTATCTGGAAGTATAAAACAATAAGATGGCCAAGTCTGCAAGGCATTCCTTAATTATTTGGTACAGTATAGTGCAAAGAGGAGAGCTTACTAGTATTTAAGTAGGATCTCTCCATTCTGCATAATTATAAATAAAGATAATCCTTGAGTAATCTATAAAATAATAAAGGCGGGATACTAAATAATAAAACAAGGATCTATAATTACTCTATGTATGTCTAGCCCGCTGTCCCACTACACAAAATATTTATTGGGAAAAAAAATGTTTTCTTGCTTTGTAGCTGATCAGCTGTAGGACACCACTTCAGCCAGAAGGTTCACTCCCAGCTATGCCACTCAGGGCTGAATAAACTAAGCAAATGTGAATAGGGCGGCGTCCGTATGGCGCTGCTCCTCCGTGCTTCTCCCTCCGTGCTCATTCAGATCCTAAGATCTAAGACATTCGAATAGTTGTTCATTTCCTCTCGTCTTCCATTCTGGGAAAATAGGAAGGCTAGAACACCAACGCCCCTCCAGCAAGAAAAAGTTCCTGCGAACTCTGAAGCGCTGGGGGGTGGGAGAAAAAAATGCCAGGAAGGAAGATGGCTACCGGCGCTTCTGATGACACCATCTCCCTGCGCCTGCAAAGGGAGTGGGCGGGTGTGGTGAGGAGAAAAGCGGGCGGGGCAGCCAAGGAAGCGCTGGAATGTGGGCGGGACGGCGAAGCGGGCGATGTGGCTTCCTATTTGCCAGCAGCCGCAGCAGCCGACTCCTCCGTCGGGGCTGAATCGGACCGTGGCAGGCGAAGCCCCTCTCCGGGGAATCTCCTCCCGAGGTCCCCGGTAAGTTACTTCGGGGGCTCGCCGAGGAGGCTGTCCGGAGTGATGGGGACGGGGAGGCAAAGCTCGGAAATGGGTCCCGGAGGCTGGGAGGGTCGAGGAACCGGGAAGGAGGGAAGCTCGCTCTTGATGCTGCACCGCAGGGTTGGCGGTGGGGCTCGCCTGGGCGGGGAGGAGCCGAGGGCTCGGAGCGAGAAGGGAACACGAAGGAGAGGAAAATCATCGCCGAGCCCGGAGTACAACTTGCCAGGGCAAATGAAAAAAGCGGTGGCGAGGGTGGGTTGGGTCGGGTCGAGAGGAGGCATTTTTAGTAGAAGAGGAAAAAAAGAAACCCGGAGGGTAAACATTGGAAACCGGAACGCTAGATTGGCTTTCCGATTATTTACTTTTGGAAGAGTGTAAGGAATTACACTTGCGTTTACAGCAGGAGGGTATCCCGTTTTCAATCAGTGGACCATCTCATTTTTGTTCATCAATGTTTGAAGCTTGAAGGGGAGACCCATTCTTTGAAGTTTAGTATTCAGCATTAAAAGAAAAGCATTAGACACACGGTGTGGAAGTACTGAGCCTTCCGTGGGAAAAAAAGATCGTTGCAAGGTGTTTTTGATTTGCATCTTTCCTGAAAGAAATAAAGCAAGTCAACATTCATATAATTTAATTAGGATAGCAGTTTGAGTGGTTGAAATTGGGCTTATGTTTCCAAATGCAGGAATTTTTTTTTTATTGACAGTTTCTTTTTTCTTTTTTGGCAGGTGTCCCATCATGTTGTTTGCCTTATTGGAGAATTAAAAAGACATCTTCTGTTACTGCTAACAACTACTAAGTCTCAGGATATCACAACTGAAAAGATGCTGAGGACCTAAAATTAAATGGGATTATATTGACATTTAATCAAGCCACAAGAACATTCCTTGGAGTCTCTTGGAGTCATGGTTCTTATAATATAGAGTTGAAGAATTTTCCTTTATTTTTTTTGCATATTCTGTATCCATCAACAAGCTTAATTTTATTTGGAAGAGGACAGATTTTCCAAAGTGCCATTAATGAAAAGGAAAGGGCAAATTGTCACATTTAATTATTTAAACTGTGCGGTGGCATTAGAGATTAATTCTGTTCCTCTTTGATTGAGTCCATGAACTGAAGCCAATAGTTTAAACTGAAACGGAGAATGTTTGGATCCTGATTAGAGGATACTTCCCAACCAAATAAGAGGGAGTGTAGGATGGCATCCAGGGAGAGGCTTTATGAACTTTGGATGCTCTACTGTAATAAGGTAACTCTTTTTTAAAAATGTTGTACATTAGTTGCAGTTGCTTTCTAGATGCTGAATAGCTAAGACTACAATAGAGATGCTGCATAATATAGTGATAAAATATTTTTCAGAATGTATTTTCAGTATCATGAATTAGCCGCCAATAATTAAATTCTGTTGCACAGATTATAATTGTTTCTGTTCATTCAGGTTGTAAAGGTTGTTTCTGTTCATTCAGGTTGTGAATGTAATAAATATACAGGCCATAAGCATCATGCTTGCCATAGGCCTTGTATTAGCAATTTCTTGTAGATGCATTGGCAAACTTAGACATGTATTTGCACAAATAATTCTTAGGCTTGTGTAAATTTGATGGGTGATGTTGAAAAAGATTTAAACTGAAGAAATAGCTGCCTATTAACAAAATGATATATGAACATCAACATAATTTTATGCACCATCATCTCTTTCTAGAAATTATCCTTAGTTTTGTTATGTAGTACATTTCTTGTATCTTCCTTGACTTTAGTTTTGTAACCATTATGATTTCTTCAACAGCTTTATTGTACAGAACATACGATATTTGTGTGCTCATTATTATGTAGCAAAAAGAAAGCTGCAGAAATGCTTCTCTCAGCAAAGGTGTATTGTTGAATTTTTAGTTTTTGGCAAGCTTTTCAAATATAAATACCCTGTTGTTTGACAAAGCTTATGAGCAGGTACTTAATAACATAATGTTTAAAAAAGTCTGATACTGAACTAGAGTTTAAAGTAGGGGTAATTTCTAACTTTTTTTCCCTAAGAATTCTAATCACTTCTGTTTTCATGTGGTACATTATTTTTACATATAAATATTTCCTGATAATAACTTACTGGCTATCAAATAGGAAAGTTTAATTAAATAGATATTTTATCCTTTTTAAAGATAGCTGTTTTATGGAAAAAGTATCTGAAAAAGTTTATCTGGGATCTAAACATGGTAACAGTGAGATTATCTGCTCTGTGATGGGAGAAGAATAGCCCATTGCAGACGACAACTTTGAGGGATTACTAAATTTCATAGCTAAAACTCAGGATGGATAACTCTTCATGATCAATGCTCAGAGTCACCTGAACTGTAAGATGGGTGGCAACTAAATTTGATAAATAAACAAGGTGGTAATTCCGGTGACAAAAAGCATCCAGTTTTTTTCAGAAATTGCTTCTTTTGAGATGCAGCAAAATATTGTGTGGTTCATCCTATCTGCTTTTACAAAGCTAGTTACAATGATTATGTATGTGGTATATAGTCATCCAAGAGAATGACAATGAACTGTAGCCTTTTAATGCAAGAATGGACACGAGCCAGTTCAATCTTACTGTATCTTTGTACGTTGCAATATGTTCTAAAATTATTTTGAGATATCAGAAAGCCAATTACTCTCTATCTACTATTACTGACTTCACATATTGATGTGGTTATTTGATATGAAGCAATGTGTACATTTGCTCATTGTAGCTTATTAGCTTGGTTTAAGGTTTAGTATATCTAATTCAATTTTCATGGTTTATTCAGTTAATGATAGCTTTGCAATGATGCATGGCATTCTTTGGTTCCTTTTCCACTTAGTACTGGCATCTCCCTATATGATTATTAATTGAATTTTAGTTTCAAATAATAGTTAAATTCATAACTATTGCTGACAAGTATTGCCAAGTCAGCTCTGAATTTTCTTATTGGAATGGTCTCTTGTTTTGGATCTACAAGTTATATTGGATCTCAAATATTAGTTGAGTTTCACACTTTCTAACAATGCAAGGAATGATGTGAGAGCAGTTGCTTGAGGAAGGCTAAGTAAGTACAAAGCTGATATTGATATGTTTATGGCATTAGAGAAACAATTGTATGAGTTTTTGTCATAAATAGTAGAAATACATCTGTTTTTAATATCAAAGCCTAATATAAAATGCTTTCAAATCACATGACTATCTTCCCCATCATGATAAACCAGCATTCTGAAGAATTCAGGCTTGCATGAATTTCTGTTGCCAGCAGGTATTGATTGAACGAATCAGAGCTCTTTCTGTTGGTTATTTACTGTGATATGTAAACTTAAATTCCCAGCTTGTCTCTCAGATAAGCTAGGAATTGAAAGCCAAGAACAAATCTTGAATTTCTGTCTCTCAGCCAGTAACATGTTGAAATAAATCAATGATAGAGCTTTAATGGTTTGTTCCACTGCCCTCATTGGTAGGAGAATGCAGATAGGTATACCAGTACACCTTGATGAACAGCAGCTATAACTGGAGAAATCTGGTTTACCATGACATGCTATTCCATGGATTGTATAATAACTAAGTTAATAATGGCTGCTAGATCTCAGTTGCAGACTGTTAGATGGCAACAAAGAGATACAGAAAAATATAGCACTTTGGTCCTGTTTTGTAGTCATGCAGAGTTTTATAGCCTAAAGCTACGGGTTGTGAATCTAAGACTGATAGATTTATTTTAAATACCGTAAACCATGAAACCAAACAAAAATTTTAAGTAGCCAAATCAATATAAAGGCTCTTTCCTAGTGCTAGAATTACCATGTCCCACAGACTAAATACCAGTATATAGCAGTTAAAATTTGAGAGGTTTTCAAAATCTGTCTCCACATTTTTTCAACTTAAATTATTAGAACGTTGACCAGAGTGCATTTTGGATTTCTGTAGAAAATTTGAATATATTTCCTCTTTTTATATCAAATTGGTAATTTGGCATATTACATGAGTACTTGTTCCTTTTTAAGACGTTTCTTTAAATATCTTCCTATAATATCTTCCTATTAAAAAAGTAGTTGAAAAAAAAAATTGGTCTGTCAAGAAAATACCCTGCAGAAAAGACAGGAGGAAAAAAAAAATCTTTTAAGGGTTGGCAGAAGTTCCTCTAGCCCATTATATTTTCCTATTGGCAACTTCAGAAGTCTTCTACTTCTTCAATTCAGTCATTGTTGTGCCAAAAAAACCAGTAATGAGAACTTGCTTATTAAATAAAGCCGGCTGATTGATAGAAGTGGTTGTGAGCAGATCCTGAGAATGGCAATGAGAAAAGTTAAGTGACAGGACTGTTTTGTTGTAAATCTGATTAGTAAATATAAACTTCAAGGATAAAATGCTTTCAAATCAGATGAAGATCTTCCCCTTCATGATAAACAGCATGATAAACCGCTTTACGATTATATAGTTGTATAAATGTTCTTTTTTACTCTACCTATAAATATATAACAGTGTTTGTTGATTTCATTTCTTTTACGTAGTTTTAATGTTTGTTAATTTTTATTTGTAAAATTTCGTGTTCTTGAAACCAGGATGTTTGTGTTTGAATGTAAATCAAATCTCAGGTTCTTATTTTGTACCCAAGTACACCAGTAGGATGTTTGCTTTCTATTGCTGAGAGCCTCATTTAGTTCTCCATGTGAGCTAGTGAAGTGATTGGATTTATGTATTTGGAAAAACCATATGACAGCTGTGTGATAATTTTAGAAAGCAATTTTTTTCCCTTGGAAATGTTTTAATGAAATCTATACTAGGTAAAGGGTTGTTTTTCAGAAAACATTTAAAAGACTGATATATTACAACATGTTAAAACATTTTTAGAATTTAAAATTTCAAAACACTTTCCTTGAAAGTATTTAAAGAATACTTTAAATAAATAGATCTCTCTCCTTAAAAGCTATTGAATCAGCAATTTTAATGTCCTGAAACGTTCCCAGAGTAATTTAAAAGCCTTTGTAGGCATAGGTCAATAGACCGCTGTTGTGCTACAAATACTTTTGTCGGTGAAATTGTGGTTAGAGCTTTGGAATGGAAGCAAATAAGGTTCTTTGGCAAAGAAATTACTAGATATAATTCATCCTAATTGCATTTTAGGTCAGTGTATCTGGCAGAGAAGGGAGAGAACATTTCTTTGGGAAAGACATGGGTGCTGCTGAATACCATGTGTGTAGAGCCATTGGCACAATCTGCTGCACATCATAAAACATTTTTTACCAAAAATTTCATAAACCAATCTCTGCTTTAACTGCATTTTATTTTATTTTTTGCAGTATTTAGTGTCATTTCTTTCTGCTGTATCTAATCCTTTTGCAAGGGCAGGATGGGGAGAAGGAAATGGGTTCTATTTTAATCTGAAATTAAAACTACGTAGTCTAGTCATTGGGAATTACTCTGAAACTTATGATGGATTTGAAGCCTTAACTGTTGTGGAAAGTGGAGTGTGTTATTTATTTTGATTCCAGTATTGACCTTGTCACAACCATATGTCAAATTTCTATAATTGATCATCCATTCATCCTTATAATTCTGCTAAAATGAAATATTTGCTTCTCCCAATAGTCAGAAAAGCTATTTTTTCAGTACTTTGGAATTCTTCTTATTGTAAAGCTAGCTCTAGTGATGGCAATTACTTGACAATTTGGCTTTATTTCCTAGGGCTTGGCTATGTAAATGCTTTTTCATTGATTGATAAGATGAATGTATCTGTCTTTGTTTTATGAAACTTGTTATGAAAAACTAGAAAATATTTTCCTCTGTAAAGATTAATGTTTAGTGGAAACCTATTATGTTGAAGTTTGAATGATTTTTTTCTCATATTTTGGATGTCCTCTTACTCAGAAAAAAAGAGTTTTATATTTGAGCATCAGAATTGTAGATTATAAATAAAATATTTAAAAAATGGTAAACGTTCTACTTAGAATCATGTACTGTATATACTTCTGAATTAATACTATTATACGACTCCCTTAAATATATTATAGTACTATTAAAAGCCAATAAATTTGGATGAAACCAAATTTGTGGTTTTTGTTGTAACCAAACAATGGTTACAAAAAATCAGGATTGAACTAAGTGGGGAGTACCCAACAGATGAAGAATTCTTAATTACTAAAGTATTATTTGGCATTCTGTCTGCACAAATATATAGGAACATTATCAGATAAGTCAAGTGTTTTCACATTTTTTTTCTTAGTTATACAATCCATAGCTTTCATTATAAC